GTAGCCAGATGTAAGGCAATGTCTGAGTAATACTGCATATTCTGCTGGCATGTTGTTTTCCTCTAGTTTCCTAGTTATAATTGAGATGCAGTCTTCAACAGGTAGGCATGTAAATAGAGACTGAACATCAAAACTGACCATAGTTTCATTGTCAGTAAGACATAGGTCTTTTATCTCACTGACAAAATGGTATGAATCCTTAGTGTGTGCTCTTGTATGTCCTCTGAGTGGTGATAGTACTTTTGCTAAGTGTTGAGCCAATCTGTAAGTTGGCGAATCGATCTGACTCACTATTGGACGTAATGGAGCGTTCGGTTTGTGTATTTTTGGTAACCCATACAACTTCGGCGGTTTGGCACACGTAGGTATTATCGAATTTACGTCTAGATTCAGTTTCTCGGAGTATTTCTTTATTAGATCGCTAGTTGTTTTAAGCGTATTAGTTGTAGGATCTGTTTTGACCTTTACGTTCGTACTTTCATCCGATAAAAGTTGTTGTATTTTAAAATTGTAATCCGACGTATCCATTATAACCGTAGCATTACCTTTATCTGCGCGGAGAATCGTAAGATCTGGTCTGTTGCGTAAGTTTTTCAATGCAGTAAATTCATCTTTGGGAAGATTTAATTTTGGCGCTGAGCTTCGACGTAACAAGGACGAAATGTCTTGACGTATAGCCTCTAAATCTTCTTTACCAATATTATTTTTATACAGACAGTCCTCAACACTACAGATAATGTTTTCATACGGAATTTTTCGCGGTGTTATAGCGAAATTCATACCTTTGGCCAAAACTTTTATTGTCGCGTCGTCTAGAGATTGTTTTGACAGGTTATAGACCGCACGTTGTTTATTACTCGCGTCTGTTGTCAATGATTGCGTTCCGTTATTACGTTGACATTGGCGTTGGACATTTGATTTGGTTGTTAGTTTTTGGTATTTATCTATATGTTTATTTTTGCATTCATTGTATTTATATGTTTCACGTTTGTCTAAAGTTTCCATGCAATTCTTATAATCAAATGTCGATAAAACTGTCTTTAGATCACTGGACGATTAGTCTATGGTTTTTTTAATGAAACATAGATCGGTACGTTTTTGCTGAATCACCGTTATTAACAATTTTTTGCTTGCCTGATTTAAGATCTTAGCGCTTCCTCGAATGTCTTTTTAGTAGATATCTTGACACACGTAGGAATGAGATTATGGTCTCTGCATCTCTTCAAGAAGTTTAAAGCTGTTATGTATCTTGCGCGCTTGGTTTTGAGATCTTCTAGTCGGCGTATTTTATTTGCTATTTCCAGTCCGTACTGGTTTACATAATGATTTCTTATATTTACGCGAACACTACACATTGAATAAAACTATTTTTACGGATTTTATCGCGTTTAATTAACTTATTTTATATTCCCGACGTTTCGGTTGCTTTCCAGCAACCGTGGTCACGGGGGACTGAGGTGATTGACGTCCCGATGTCAAAGTTAACCCGGAGTACCTTCAGCTTTTTAATTATTAATTTTGGTCCGATCTTGAAGCGAGCTTCTATTAGAACATTCTTCAAGCCGCCGAAGAAGATTAGTCAGTTCTTACCATCCGTCAAGTGCAATATTCCTCTACAAGATGCAGGAGTATACAAGCTTGATTGTGAGTGTGGTCTCTCATATATAGGGCAAACAAAACGATCAATAAAAACCCGCGTAAAAGAACACATAGCTGACGTGAAGCACCAACGTTCCGGGAAGTCTGCAGTTTGTGATCATATCCTAGACGGCCCCCGTCATTACGTTAGATTTGATAAACCACAAGTCCTCGCGAAAGAACATCGATTCCTGCCAAGGATAATACGTGAGGCTATTGAAATTAAAAAACATCCAAATTTCAATAGAGAGGGAGGCTGGGTACTACCACCTGCTTGGGATCCTGTAATTCATAAAATTAAAACTAAACCCAAGCATACCACTGTAAGACTTCAAGACACAGTTAGTTCATTCTGCGTAGATCGGACCAAAATTAATAATTAAAAAGCTGAAGGTACTCCGGGTTAACTTTGACATCGGGACGTCAATCACCTCAGTCCCCCGTGACCACGGTTGCTGGAAAGCAACCGAAACGTCGGGAATATAAAATAAGTTAATTAAACGCGATAAAATCCGTAAAAATAGTTTTATTCAATGTGTAGTGTTCGCGTAAATATAAGAAATCATTAGACTCATCATTATTACCTACTAGAGATTACGACAGAATTATTTTATTTGTACTCTGTTAATTTTAAATCAAAATATCGAGCGACAAAAGGCGAGCTGGCAACTGCAATTTTTATTTTCTATTTGTTATTAGTTATATACTGCTGTCCATCTCCTGGTTTGTTTCCTTGTGTCGCATCTTACGAAACAAATGGGACGATATATGGTAGTCGATATACTTATAATGCCACTATACGGCCAAGTATTAGAATGTCAAATGCTTGAAAAACAGTGTTAATGGAAAATACAGAGAACCAAACAACGTTCTACTATTTGATCAATGAGTCGTAGCAGATGCAAATATTATTATGGATACGGTAACATTACTTACGATAGCACTCTGCCAAGTTAAAGCTGGCACTAGGGGTAATTGCTATGCCGTATTATACGATTAAGAACCGAAAATCGCGGCTTACGAAATTGGCGCTTAGTTGCAATGAATATTTTAGCTATCGCTAGTCTTCATCTAATCATATTTATTCATTTTCTGATAAGTTATATCAAGAGTAATACATATTATGCATGTTATATCATAGAATAAATAATATTATATGGCTATAAATAGTATATAAATAAAATTAAAAAATGACAATTTGGTTTATTGATTGTATTGATAAATCCAAGATTCATCATCTGTAATAATGTCGAAAACATCTTGAAACGAACTTGTTTTAATTTTAGTAATCATGTCACAGCGTCATTCCACATGGGTTAATTCTGAGCATCAGAAATATTGAGCAGCACCTAACACGAAACTATCCCTCTCACGCAAATTAGTCTATTGGTTTCAAAAATTTTTTTTCATTGATAGCACGTTCTTTTCCATAACAGCCGCCAAAGGGTGACCACTTCTTTCTTTATGTCTCAAACTTAGACGACCGTACTGAAATTTGCCTTTATCTTTAAAAACTTTTATCCGTAAATGCCAGTTTAAGTGTATGAAACGGTTTGTCCGGTTTTAGGCGACATTAGAAATCAAATGGGAAAATTCGTGTTATTATTTGTAAATGAAATTGTATTTTCAAAATATATTATAACAGTGCAGTGTTTCATACTAAAAAGAAAACTTTTTGTAACTTTCTGCGTGGGCTGTGCATATAAAATTCGCTATATATATTACCTAAATTATTTCTTATTGCATATTATATTCATTTATGATTTTCTCAATTTCAAAGCCGAAAGAAATATTTAGTTTCATTCCTATTAGGTATGTTAGAAACTATTGTTTTATAAAATTCCGTAATGTGATGCTATCTCATGTGACATTTGATAACACTTTTTGAGATAAATATTAATATTAATAATAGTTTGCTTATGTATATGTACTTAAAAATCAATAACAATTTGCTGTGTCATGTGACGTACATTTTTTTTTCAATAGAAGAGGGGGCAAACGAGCATGCGGCTCACCTGATGGTAAGTGACTACCGCCGTCCATGAACAACCGCAACACCAGGGGAATTGCAGATGCGTTGCTGGCCTATTAGAAAAGTGTAAGTAAGCTCTTTTCTTGAAGGTCGGTTGTATGTTTCGGTTTTAATTTTACATCTATAGCTAGTCGATAATTTTTGCTTTGCTTTGTGTATCGTTACTCTCCTTTATAAATCGATTTAACATTGTTCATCTCTAGACACGCCAAACTGTAAGCTGTCACCCGCACCATGCTATAACGCAAAGACTATAGGCATGATTTTGACAATCTGGAAAGCAATAAACTTTCACTATAAAAAAAAAATTATAAAGATGACGTACTGTTAGTAATCGCTATAGCTAAACTAACTGTTATTTATTAAGGTCGAATGGTTGTTTTTTTTTGTATAACAGAAAATTTGTTACGTATATTTTTAATAAAAATAAGGCCCCTTTTTAATTGAATTTATGTTTGTTTTGAAACAATTTTTCGTCAAGGTTCCATATTCTAAATTTGTCCCACAAAAAGGACCCACCTTTGTCACTTTGTTGTTATGGTCTGATTTATTAACATTTATTAGAGAGTTAACACGTTTGTCTGGTAACAATAAAAATCCATTACTTTTCTAATCCAGGTCCTTTTTTGCGTTTTAGTCTGTTGTGAGACTATAATAATATAGGATACGAGCTGACCCGCACGGTTTCACTCCTGTAAAATTTAAGTAAAAGTAAAGTTAGGTATTTAAGTTTTTTAATATTGCAAGCAAAAAGAGTTACAAACAAAAATAGACTTAAACTCTCACGCCTGTCAGCCAGAGGGGTAGGCAGAAATTACGGAGTTTCGTTCAGCACGATCCTGACACACTTTTCTCTCTTCTTTCACATCTATTATCTACTCATACATGCTCAAATTTAAATTCAAATTCAAATTCATTTATTTGCCATAAATAGGGTAAAGTATAGGTTTTTACAATAAAAATAAGTTGCTTAAAGACCTATTTAGCCATTAGGTACGGCATGCAAACTTTTTTTAAATTGTACAAATTATGTTGGTGGTAATAGATTCTAAATTGTCAACTTATTAGGCCCTGTCCGCACTGCGATATTTCACCGCGCGATTTCTTTCTCGCAATTCTGTAACACATAGAATCTTATAGGAGTAACCGCACTGGCGGCAAAAAAATCGCGCGGGAAATAAATCTGTGATTTGATGCAAATTGAACGCGAAGCGGTGCGATTTATTTCCGCGCGAATATTTTGTGCAGTATATAGTAGTTATGGCTATGGCCGCACTGCGAAATAAAATCCGCGCGTTTCGCTCAGTCGTGTACTGTCGCTATTGGCAGGATGTCGCGCGCTTCGTCTCCCGCCCGATCGGGAGCCGCAGAGGAGTTAGAAAATGATGACATTGATATTGAGCAATTAATCACGTTGATGCACAGGAGACCTCTCCTGTGGGACAAATTTAATCCAAAGTACCACGACAGAATATTGAAGGCGAGATTGTGGGAGGAAATATATCAAGACATATATTTTAGTTGGGAACAATGCAGTGTTGTTGAAAAAAAAACAAAAAGGTAAATATAAAGTATTTTTTTTTAATTTAATGACGTTTACAAATTAAATATTTTTATTTATAACCTTTGATTATATACCTACATGTCTAGATTGAGCAATGCAAACAAACTTCGCGCAAAAACCGGCCCGAATTACGTGATATGTGTGAGTACCGCTCGTGTACTTATTGTAGTCAAACTGTCAAGATGTGCGTGTTTAGGGATACTTGCTCCAAATTATTAACTTAACTTTTCCCCATTATTTAATAAGGTGTAGTTTAAACAAAATAGGTTAAATAAAGTAACTATTTCGTAGATTAGTGTTTTATTTAATTTAGTAAAAACAAAAAATATAAACATAATTACAAATATTTTTCTTTTAAGTTTTTTAAACAAACAAAATCTTATAAGTACTACTGCATCTTTTTATGATTTACAAAGATAAATAAATATATATTAAAATAAAATATTTTTATTCATTAACAAAATGTTTAAAAATTACAAAAAGATGTAATGATATTTATAATGTGTCTCCCATAGTTTCGCTGTTTCCCTAATATTAAACTGGCAACACAAGCTAATCAGACTAACCTAAGCAGTAACGAATTAAAAAACTGTGTTTTCTTAAAATAAAGTAGTTAAATAATATAATTTACTTCTTTACTTCCCACGTAATTGCGATACAATTTGATAGCACAAACCGGCATAATTAATTATTTTTCGTGAGCTTATTATCCATAGGTGACTCAAATGACACTGGTGTAGGTGAGAAGCGAGTCTACCAATAATTATAGTAGACTTTTTTCGAGCCGTTCGGTACGGTCAATGTGTCCATCTAGACATGTATATAATCAAAGATTTTTTGTTGGTCTGTAGTTTTATATAGAATATATACCTATAATACGGGTAGACGTTTATATTTTATATTTTTTCATGTTGCCATGGAATTGACCCTTTCGGTGAATCAAAATATTCTGCAAAATATTGTCTATTTTCAATGCTGGATATTCTAGATCTCACAGGAGTAGGGCGCTAACTTTGTAACTCGGTCCCATACAATTTGTCCTTAAACCGAATTCCATCATGTTTGCGTACGTAATTATGTAAAATGCAACATGCTTTAATTATTTGGTCACAAGTTGTTAGTTTTACATCTAAAGCCCGATGTAAAATTCTCCATTTATTAGTAAGTATGCCAAAAGTGCATTCTACAAATCTTCTTGCTAGTGTGAGTCTGTAATTAAAAACTCTTTGAGTTACAGATAGGTTTCTTCTGGGGTATGGTCGCATTATGTGTTCTGAGAGAGCGAACGCTTCATCTCCAACAAAAACATAAGGCATGTTTTCCCCATTTTCATCTTTTGGTAGGTAAGTTGGTGATGGAAGTATTAACTGACTACCTTCAAGCTTCTTTCCAAATGCAGAATTTTTAAAAACGGTAGAGTCACTACTGCTGCCGTAAGCACCTATGTCAACACTGATGAAATAATAATTTGCATCAGCCACCGCCATTAAAACTAAGGAATGATATTGTTTATAATTATAAAATTCAGAACCCGCGCCATTAAGCTTTTCGCACCTTATATGCTTTCCATCCACCGCTCCCAAGCAATGTGGAAAATGGGTTCTTTTATAGAAAAGTTCGGCAGTATGGGACCAAGTTCTTTCATCTGGTTCTGGCATGTATAAAGATTGTAAACAAGATAATAGTCTTTCACACGTGTCTTCTATAATTTCACCAATTGTAGAGATACCAATTAGATATTCGTAATATAGCGAATAGTAGCTATTTCCTGAAGCCAAGTACCTGCAATAATTACAAAAAAATATGTAACACCAATAATATAAAATTCAAACAAATTATAGTTTATTATTTATCTACACAACAATTACCTTATTTTATTTTCTTTTACAGGAGCTGATGTGCAAAAAAAAATGGAAAAATCTTAAAGATACATACTTCAAGGAGGTGGCAGCTGATAAAAAGGTAGTTTCGGGTCAAGCCGCAAAGAAAAAAAAAGACCATACATACACATGGGAGCACTTTCATTTTTAGCCACTCAAAAATCAATGAGAGATACGACAAATAATATTAAAGACACAGAAAGCACTAACAGTAATGCTGAAGACCTTACAAATCAATCCGACGAAGATACTGACACAGAAGCTTCACGAAATAGAAGACTTAAAACGAGCATGCGTAAAAAGACTAAAATTCAGAATAATAGCGATGATGAGTTATTGAAATTATTGCAGGATAAAACTTATGATGAGGATGTTTCATTTTGTGAAATGATCATACCAATGCTCAAGAATCTCTCAACAGACCAGCAACATTACGCTAAAATTGAAATTCTGAATGCACTTAACAGAGCAACTAAATACACACCACAAAATTTTATACCGCCTAGAGTCAGATCCGCTATGTCTCAATATCAATCATCATCATCATCGTATTCATCTTACAACCCAAATACGCCATCACCCTACCCAAATACTATCCGTCAATCTCCTTCTCCCCAAATTTACCAATACCCACCATCTTTTCCTCAATCTCCGCCTGATCCGTCTCCTCAAACACAATACACACCATCTCGTAATTCAACTGTCATTCCTCAATCTCCACCTGATCCGTCTCCTCAAACCAATACTCGCTGTCAAATTTTCCAAATACTTTATTTAATCATTCTACATTCGTAGTAGAGGGGAGTAGTTTTGACATGAAAGATTATATTTTATTTAAATAAAAGTTACATTGCTTATAAATAAATGATGCTGTATGATTAAACCTTGTTTTTATTTACCTCCGTCAGTTATTAAATATACTTTGGAATGTTACAATATCAAATGGGGGGGGGGCTGGGGGGGGGATAAATTAAGAGAACGTGAAAATTTAAAATAAATGGTATTATCAGCGCCAAAATGACAGAGATGCATTAAATACATCTAAGCATTTGATAAAAATCAAACTGAGCTCAAAGAAATTAGGGTGCACTTTCAATTGTTTCGAAGAAACAATCAAAAGAAAGGTGCTCTTTCTTTTAATAAGATTGACTTTTATAAAATGCTTAGATATATTTTAGCTTACACTGCTGTGCAGGCTGTACCTAATACCTATAAGAATGGAACATCTTACCTTAGAGTTATCGAGAGTCTCTCTTCACCTGAAATTGCTTTTCTCCAATTCGTATCTTGATAGGTAATAGCCCGACCAACTAGTCGTAGTAAATTATCGAATGATTTTGTAGTCATTCTGTAATATCCGAAAAACTTTTTATTATATTCTCGCAGCTCTTGATATTTTATGTAGAAAAATCCTTTCATAGGTCTCAAGGCCGTAAATGGTTGAATCCAATGTTCATGATATCTTACGATAGGTTTGTCACGCCGCCGCCGCCGAAGTATCAGGTAAATTAAAAATTTTCTTTTATTCATTTTAGACGTTCGTCTCAATCGGGAACTGCATCGAACTGACAAAAATCGTACGAAATTTTATTCGCAGTGCGTAATAAGTGTAATTCCGATCACGGAATATAATACGCGAGAATAAAAATCGCGCGGTGAAATATCGCAGTGCGGACAGGGCCTTAAATGTAAGTTATATAATTCAAAATGTCGTAATTTAATTACAAATATTTTTCTTTTAAGTTTTTTAAACAAACAAAATCTTATAAGTACTACTGCATCTTTTTATGATTTACAAAGATAAATAAATAAATATTAAAATAAAATATTTTTATTCATTAACAAAATGTTTAAAAATTACAAAAAGATGTAATGATATTTATAATGTGTCTCCCATAGTTTCGCTGTTTCCCTAATATTAAACTGGCAACACAAGCTAATCAGACTAACCTAAGCAGTAACGAATTAAAAAACTGTGTTTTTTTAAAATAAAGTAGTTAAATAATATAATTTACTTCTTTACTTCCCACGTAATTGCGATACAATTTGATAGCACAAACCGGCATAATTAATTATTTTTCGTGAGCTTATTATCCATAGGTGACTCAAATGACACTGGTGTAGGTGAGAAGCGAGTCTACCAATAATTATAGTAGACTTTTTTCGAGCCGTTCGGTACGGTCAATGTGTCCATCTAGACATGTATATAATCAAAGATTTTTTGTTGGTCTGTAGTTTTATATAGAATATATACCTATAATACGGGTAGACGTTTATATTTTATATTTTTTCATGTTGCCATGGAATTGACCCTTTCGGTGAATCAAAATATTCTGCAAAATATTGTCTATTTTCAATGCTGGATATTCTAGATCTCACAGGAGTAGGGCGCTAACTTTGTAACTCGGTCCCATACAATTTGTCCTTAAACCGAATTCCATCATGTTTGCGTACGTAATTATGTAAAATGCAACATGCTTTAATTATTTGGTCACAAGTTGTTAGTTTTACATCTAAAGCCCGATGTAAAATTCTCCATTTATTAGTAAGTATGCCAAAAGTGCATTCTACAAATCTTCTTGCTAGTGTGAGTCTGTAATTAAAAACTCTTTGAGTTACAGATAGGTTTCTTCTGGGGTATGGTCGCATTATGTGTTCTGAGAGAGCGAACGCTTCATCTCCAACAAAAACATAAGGCATGTTTTCCCCATTTTCATCTTTTGGTAGGTAAGTTGGTGATGGAAGTATTAACTGACTACCTTCAAGCTTCTTTCCAAATGCAGAATTTTTAAAAACGGTAGAGTCACTACTGCTGCCGTAAGCACCTATGTCAACACTGATGAAATAATAATTTGCATCAGCCACCGCCATTAAAACTAAGGAATGATATTGTTTATAATTATAAAATTCAGAACCCGCGCCATTAAGCTTTTCGCACCTTATATGCTTTCCATCCACCGCTCCCAAGCAATGTGGAAAATGGGTTCTTTTATAGAAAAGTTCGGCAGTATGGGACCAAGTTCTTTCATCTGGTTCTGGCATGTATAAAGATTGTAAACAAGATAACAGTCTTTCACACGTGTCTTCTATAATTTCACCAATTGTAGAGATACCAATTAGATATTCGTAATATAGCGAATAGTAGCTATTTCCTGAAGCCAAGTACCTGCAATAATTACAAAAAAATATGTAACACCAATAATATAAAATTCAAACAAATTATAGTTTATTATTTATCTACACAACAATTACCTTATTTTATTTTCTTTTACAGGAGCTGATGTGCAAAAAAAAATGGAAAAATCTTAAAGATACATACTTCAAGGAGGTGGCAGCTGATAAAAAGGTAGTTTCGGGTCAAGCCGCAAAGAAAAAAAAAGACCATACATACACATGGGAGCACTTTCATTTTTAGCCACTCAAAAATCAATGAGAGATACGACAAATAATATTAAAGACACAGAAAGCACTAACAGTAATGCTGAAGACCTTACAAATCAATCCGACGAAGATACTGACACAGAAGCTTCACGAAATAGAAGACTTAAAACGAGCATGCGTAAAAAGACTAAAATTCAGAATAATAGCGATGATGAGTTATTGAAATTATTGCAGGATAAAACTTATGATGAGGATGTTTCATTTTGTGAAATGATCATACCAATGCTCAAGAATCTCTCAACAGACCAGCAACATTACGCTAAAATTGAAATTCTGAATGCACTTAACAGAGCAACTAAATACACACCACAAAATTTTATACCGCCTAGAGTCAGATCCGCTATGTCTCAATATCAATCATCATCATCATCGTATTCATCTTACAACCCAAATACGCCATCACCCTACCCAAATACTATCCGTCAATCTCCTTCTCCCCAAATTTACCAATACCCACCATCTTTTCCTCAATCTCCGCCTGATCCGTCTCCTCAAACACAATACACACCATCTCGTAATTCAACTGTCATTCCTCAATCTCCACCTGATCCGTCTCCTCAAACCAATACTCGCTGTCAAATTTTCCAAATACTTTATTTAATCATTCTACATTCGTAGTAGAGGGGAGTAGTTTTGACATGAAAGATTATATTTTATTTAAATAAAAGTTACATTGCTTATAAATAAATGATGCTGTATGATTAAACCTTGTTTTTATTTACCTCCGTCAGTTATTAAATATACTTTGGAATGTTACAATATCAAATGGGGGGGGGGCTGGGGGGGGGATAAATTAAGAGAACGTGAAAATTTAAAATAAATGGTATTATCAGCGCCAAAATGACAGAGATGCATTAAATACATCTAAGCATTTGATAAAAATCAAACTGAGCTCAAAGAAATTAGGGTGCACTTTCAATTGTTTCGAAGAAACAATCAAAAGAAAGGTGCTCTTTCTTTTAATAAGATTGACTTTTATAAAATGCTTAGATATATTTTAGCTTACACTGCTGTGCAGGCTGTACCTAATACCTATAAGAATGGAACATCTTACCTTAGAGTTATCGAGAGTCTCTCTTCACCTGAAATTGCTTTTCTCCAATTCGTATCTTGATAGGTAATAGCCCGACCAACTAGTCGTAGTAAATTATCGAATGATTTTGTAGTCATTCTGTAATATCCGAAAAACTTTTTATTATATTCTCGCAGCTCTTGATATTTTATGTAGAAAAATCCTTTCATAGGTCTCAAGGCCGTAAATGGTTGAATCCAATGTTCATGATATCTTACGATAGGTTTGTCACGCCGCCGCCGCCGAAGTATCAGGTAAATTAAAAATTTTCTTTTATTCATTTTAGACGTTCGTCTCAATCGGGAACTGCATCGAACTGACAAAAATCGTACGAAATTTTATTCGCAGTGCGTAATAAGTGTAATTCCGATCACGGAATATAATACGCGAGAATAAAAATCGCGCGGTGAAATATCGCAGTGCGGACAGGGCCTTAAATGTAAGTTATATAATTCAAAATGTCGTAATTTAATTACAAATATTTTTCTTTTAAGTTTTTTAAACAAACAAAATCTTATAAGTACTACTGCATCTTTTTATGATTTACAAAGATAAATAAATAAATATTAAAATAAAATATTTTTATTCATTAACAAAATGTTTAAAAATTACAAAAAGATGTAATGATATTTATAATGTGTCTCCCATAGTTTCGCTGTTTCCCTAATATTAAACTGGCAACACAAGCTAATCAGACTAACCTAAGCAGTAACGAATTAAAAAACTGTGTTTTTTTAAAATAAAGTAGTTAAATAATATAATTTACTTCTTTACTTCCCACGTAATTGCGATACAATTTGATAGCACAAACCGGCATAATTAATTATTTTTCGTGAGCTTATTATCCATAGGTGACTCAAATGACACTGGTGTAGGTGAGAAGCGAGTCTACCAATAATTATAGTAGACTTTTTTCGAGCCGTTCGGTACGGTCAATGTGTCCATCTAGACATGTATATAATCAAAGATTTTTTGTTGGTCTGTAGTTTTATATAGAATATATACCTATAATACGGGTAGACGTTTATATTTTATATTTTTTCATGTTGCCATGGAATTGACCCTTTCGGTGAATCAAAATATTCTGCAAAATATTGTCTATTTTCAATGCTGGATATTCTAGATCTCACAGGAGTAGGGCGCTAACTTTGTAACTCGGTCCCATACAATTTGTCCTTAAACCGAATTCCATCATGTTTGCGTACGTAATTATGTAAAATGCAACATGCTTTAATTATTTGGTCACAAGTTGTTAGTTTTACATCTAAAGCCCGATGTAAAATTCTCCATTTATTAGTAAGTATGCCAAAAGTGCATTCTACAAATCTTCTTGCTAGTGTGAGTCTGTAATTAAAAACTCTTTGAGTTACAGATAGGTTTCTTCTGGGGTATGGTCGCATTATGTGTTCTGAGAGAGCGAACGCTTCATCTCCAACAAAAACATAAGGCATGTTTTCCCCATTTTCATCTTTTGGTAGGTAAGTTGGTGATGGAAGTATTAACTGACTACCTTCAAGCTTCTTTCCAAATGCAGAATTTTTAAAAACGGTAGAGTCACTACTGCTGCCGTAAGCACCTATGTCAACACTGATGAAATAATAATTTGCATCAGCCACCGCCATTAAAACTAAGGAATGATATTGTTTATAATTATAAAATTCAGAACCCGCGCCATTAAGCTTTTCGCACCTTATATGCTTTCCATCCACCGCTCCCAAGCAATGTGGAAAATGGGTTCTTTTATAGAAAAGTTCGGCAGTATGGGACCAAGTTCTTTCATCTGGTTCTGGCATGTATAAAGATTGTAAACAAGATAATAGTCTTTCACACGTGTCTTCTATAATTTCACCAATTGTAGAGATACCAATTAGATATTCGTAATATAGCGAATAGTAGCTATTTCCTGAAGCCAAGTACCTGCAATAATTACAAAAAAATATGTAACACCAATAATATAAAATTCAAACAAATTATAGTTTATTATTTATCT